GCCACGATTTTGCATGTTTCGCCCTATTTTCAACACACAAAAAAAATGAAAAATGATTTGAATAGCAATGAAATATTATGGGCATCATAGAGATAGAAATTAATTCAATATTTAAGGGATTTACAGAATAAAATCAATATTTATTTCCACTTTTTTTTTTTCTAATTCAATTGCCCGTCTAAAATTATCACCTCATCCTAGTTGACCAAAATTACAAATTTTCAATTTTCTTTATTAAATTTCAGAAATTTCAGACATGAGATCCCTAATTCTAGGCTGTGTATGCACAGCTGAAAACACCCAGAAAGTGCTGTTTCCGGCCATCTGGGGGCTTTTAGATTCGCGCCAACCGATGGTGGCGCTCCGCTTAGATAGTCCTGCTGGCACTAAAACCATCCTGGGCAGAACCCTGGATTATCGAGAACGAACTATCCAGATAACTTCACGAAAAATACACAACGCTTACCTTTGATGTCAGATGATTTACAAATCAAACTGTACCACTATGATTTCTTAATTAAGACTGCCCATAGATGAAGCAAATGCCCCACGAGACTTTTGCTTTGTGACAGAATAAATAATTGTAGTAGTTCTTTGCTAAGAATGATAGTCTGGTCACTATTTGTATCATAACGGCAAACACACTGGCTGACACCAGCTTGCTCGATGATCAAGATGTCCACACACTTCTGCTGGTCACTGATTCTAGGTCCATCTGAATAACCTCTTGAATCTTTTTGAACCACAAATTCTCAGAATGTACTGGAATGACTGGGCAGATAAAAAGACTTTGTCATTGAGGGCAAACTGCACCCTGCATAGTAAATACTGACAGACTCTTCAACATTTTCAAATAAAATCTGAGGTCTAGTGCTGAGAAACCCTAACCCCTGCTGGATCCAAAAATGACTGAGAACTATGCAAATAGTCCAACAACAATGCTAATCCCACAGCAGGATTGGAGCTTGTAATCTCAAGCACCAATTGCAAAGTTCTTGGAGGCAAACAGTATTACATCTAGCAGGTTTAATCCCCCTGTCTGCCATATTTTGCAAGGAACCATACATGTACTTGTTCCAACAGTGTGATGGCAGCAATGCTATGATTTATTCTTCTAATTTAAACAAACTTAGGGAATAAAACTCTACTGCTTTGGGATGTAAGAGGGCTGAGAAAGTTTATCTCAACTTCAGGTACACAAGAAAACTTAACAAGTCATTAATTTATCTAAAATTTAAAAATAAAGAAAAACATACATGTACAAGTACCTGTAATCAGGTTACAGCAAGAACTTAATCCATGAATGTTAACTTAGTTCTAATTTCTTTAAAATACTATAAAACCCCAAACTGGATTTCAATAGATACAAACAAACATGTTTTTGTTATTGTACAGATGTATCCTCATTGTACTTCTGGAGAATTTTGGCAAAAAAAGAACGGGTTAGTATTCTCAAGGGGTTAGTGTAGAATGGATACACGCTTACCAGGATCCGAGACAAGCTGGGTGCGATCTAGAGACATGGACCGAGAGTGGATACCATTATACCTTGGGGGTAAAGCAGGAGGGAGAAGCTCCACTCCCCTGGGGGTGGGGGCCTGCCCCTGGGGCTCTGCTGTGCATTCTGCCAGGGCAGTATGCCTAGAGGGGGGAGCTGATACATGTATGCGCTGCTGGAGGGTGGCTCCCGAGTATGATCTGAACAGGTGGAAATGAGTGAAGGGTGAAAGGTCAGGAGAGGTCATGATGCTCAGGAGCAATCAGGACAGGGTGCTGTCTATATATAGATCTAGAGGAAAATGAGTTTACATTGAACCACATGTACTCTGAACGCTGAACTACATTCTAATGGTATATGGACAAGGAATTTTGATCAAGCTACTCCATGATCACGAAGCAAGCTTGTAATGAAAACCTTGATATTAATAGAGTAATGATGAAACAAGAAGGGTTCTGCTGCCAGTAGAATTACAGAATATGCACAGTTTTGATGGTGAAACAGTACACTGCATATGTGTGCATGTACAAACAGGTGCTTCACTAAACTACATGTATGTGTATTATACAAGACCACAAACTCTAGATCTACAACTACTGTGAATGAATACATGAGCATGCAGATATTGAACGGTACATGTATCAAATGAAAGGAGAAAGTGGAAGCATGACACATGATTCTTGGAAAGGCTAACACCATCATGAGACTCCATTGCACAAACACACTCGTTTTACAATTGATTAGTGGTTTACCGATTTTCTAGTTCCTCACTGTAAATGAAAAATGAAACGGGAAAAAAACAAGCAGCTCTTTACAGTAAACATGAAAACAGAGTGACTGAGAAAATGAAAAATGCAATCATGGGTACACGAGAGGACTGGAATACGGAAGGCTGAAACGATGATCCAAATAGTAGTGTTGTCCACAAGAGGTGAAAAGGGACTCTAAATTATATTCACCAAATTGTATTTGCATTTTACTTTGCAATCAACTATGCTACACACTGTGTGTGCCTACGTAAAATCCCCTGAATGAAGAATGCAGTAAAGGAAGATAGGAATTTTTACAGGATTTTCAAAACAGAAAAAAATGATAAATATCCTGGCCCAGCATCATCAACATTGATGTGTGCCCCAGCAGGAAGTGATTAACATTGTATCCGTTAGGAGTCATCTCAAAATTCATCCGGGTCAAGTTGTGGACGAGTTGCAGACTTTGTTGAGGGTTAAGATGTGGGATTTTTAACCATCTTCTCTGCAATTTTCCTGCGATGATTCGTTTACATATTGTCCCCCATCTGGGGTTTGGAGCATGGCTCGGCACTCAAGGGCACGCTGTATGTCCGCTGCACTAGAAGTAAACATCGTAACAGCACAACTTATGGGGCCACCTTTTGTAAGCACTGAGGCCAAATATAAACCAGCCATTCACTCATCCAGGACAAATGCAGGGCTTCTTGTGGGTGAAGTCAATGTTGCCACCCGCAACTTGTCCGCAACTCGTCCCGGAAGAGTTTTGAGATGATCCCTTAGAAAAGCTGGTTTCACTCGTTACACTGACAACACACCATTTTAATCAATTCTCCTGACAAGTTTGGATATTTGACAGTTTACCAAAATACAGAGAACATAACACATAATTCTCATTCCTAAATCTGACATGAACAGAAGTCTGTGATATTCCAAGAAATCTGTCGATTGACCCGTTGTCATACTTCTTAAGATGTTTGGTGTCCATGGACAGTTTCCTTGGAATGCCTCAAAGACTTCATATTCAAATTTCTCAGCTCATACTAAGAATGGTGTGTTGTGTTCTCAATTCATTTGGTGGGAAAGTAGTGCCAAAAAGTCGTAATATTTCACCAAAACTTAGGAAAATAGTGTGGTGTCCCTGTTGCGCGTGAAACCAGTTTTCCTTCAAGTTATCAACAAAACCCCCCCAAAACAAAGAAATCCTTCAAAATGATTCTCAGATTCTCAGAGAGACACTTGGTAGCCATTCACATATACATGTTCACAAATGAGCATCCAACTTCAAAAGCCTCTCCGCCATTTTGAATCTCACTCTTTCACTCAACAACGTTTGAAGACAAAGAAGAACGAAGCCCCAGTACCTGGAGCGAGATCGAGGCAGGTAGTTCATGCGACCTTCAGGACCTTCTAACGGCAAACCCACCATGCCACGCTCTGTAACAAACACAGTCTGAGATTGAGTGAACTGATGTCAGAATAACATGCAGATGACGTCAGTACTTTCAACATGCAGATGATGGGTGAGTATCAAGGGAAGATGGTGAGAAGATATGAGTGGATAAGGAATGATGGTGAATACACAAGTTAATGAATTCTTTAGATACAGATGATCGAAATCATCAGCATTGTAATGATTACCATCAGCAAAGCACCCTACAAATGCTCCTTGTCTGAATATTTGGAGTTGAGGAACTTTACAGGTACACAAAATGTACATGTAAATGTGTGTGCCTTGTGCATGTATCCAGCTGATATATGAATGTTGTCAGTCCTGACAAACAAGGACCAATTTAAAACTACAAATACATGTACATACATGTAACTTGTTGTGACTGACCCTCAGTTATCACATACAGCTCATATGTACATTACAGGTTCCAGCGCGACATAGACACACATTGACATGAATATTCATGTCAATTGACATGCTTTAGTCCTTGCCCTCCCAGAGTCTCTCAAATCCATCTCGAGATTTTGGAGAATTTTTCAAGGCAACATCCGCTTCTCTAAATCCAAGCAATTCCACGGTATAGCTTGCGTCACATTTAATGGTGATCTTCTTTAAACTTTGTGTTATGTTGACATGCATGGAATTAATGGTATTTTTTTCGAAGTATTTTTTGAAACACAGTAAACTAAACTATGAGAAAAAAAATCAACGAAGTAACTCTGTGCTTGATTGGAAACAAGTTCGAAACTTGCATAACCAAAAAGGACATGGCAAAAAAGTAAATGCCTTCGATTTGAAAGCATTGTCACATATAGCTTTGGTGGCAGAAACTTTGCTTGGCCCTTTTGGCATGCACCGATTTAAGCACCTCTCCGTATACATAAAGGAATGTTAGTCACAAGTTATTTTGATCATTTTTACGACTTAAATATGGCAGAAATGTTTAGAGACTTCAATTCTGGTAATTTGCATTTGGGTTACTTTTATTACAGTTTGTCCACACATGTGGCCCTTCAGAAAAAAAAAGAACTTTAAAGCAGACCAGAATCATATTTCTCACAATTGTCATTAAGATACAACAGTGTATTAAACACAACATTCAGAGTAACTTCAGTTTTTCAAAAAACATGATTTTTTTTTATGAAAAGGTTTGCATCAACAAACCACATTAACTACAGGTACATTCCATCTCATCAGCTCAGCCTAACCCCTCAATTGAAGTCTGTTTGTCCTCTTTAATTTGACACCACATTGAGGTTTTGATTTCTATATTCATAGCCTAAAGATATGCTAAATTTTCTGTTGTTGAGTCATGCCCACTTCTCTGTGGAATTATCCATCACACGTGGAGTTGTAGGACCAGTTTTAAACTTCTACAAGTACATATATATGTACAAAGAAATGTACATTTAACACTAGTTTATTGATATAAATTCATATTAATGATTTTTGAAGATTCTGGATACAAGTCCACAAACAGGCACACGTACATGCACAACGTACCTAGCCAATTGTGCAGGTAGTTACATATACATGGGTAAGTCCAGAAATTAGGGGTCCAAAAGTGTGACATTTTGGTGTCCCTGTTACATCTGACCTTTGTTATTTGACATGGAAACATCATCAGAATTGATTTCAAGCTATTACTACTTGTTTGGTAGGTAATTTGCATTAATTCATCACTCTTGGAAATTAGAAAATGTGTTCTGAACTTGCAAAATCATACGTCAGATGTGACAGGGGCATGAAAAAAAAAGGACCCCTAATTTCTGGAATTACCCACATGCATGCAGACATACAACGCATGCATGCAGTGTACACTTAGTCGCTCTTCCACTCTAATGTACGTACTCTACACTTGTCTATGTGTCTTTCTCATTATCTTTACATGCACAAAACAGATTAAGCTCTAGCAGGACATCAAAATAACACATAAACGTCTCATCATCTCTTGGGAATAACCTTACAAAAAGGCTAACAATGTTGGGGGGCAGTTCCCTTTATTCAGAAGATAAAATAAGCAGCCTGTCAAAAGCAGAAGCCTGTTAATGCATAAAGTGTGAAGCATTAGAAATTACTACAATATTACATGTAACAGTAGTTACATGTACGTGTGTAACAGGGGTTAAGATACCTTGCATATTGTATGGATTTACGATGGAAACAAAAGTTAGTGAACCAGATAGGTTTGCGGTAGCACCATGGATATATCTCTGTTTTGGGTATGTGGGGTTCTGAAAAGAACCGGTGGTACTCAACGTTTCGGAAAGTATGCTGTGTCCGTCGTCACGAAACTACAGAGGGTCCAGTGATGAGGTAGCATAAAACAAAAGCTACTGAAGTTCATCATTAGTACAGGGTAATGGGAAACCAATATTACCACTTACCTTTGCAGATGGTCACATTCAATTCACAATTACAATTGCTGAGTTTGCATGAAAACATACGTACAAATGTACTGTATGGGCACTGTAGTTGAGATGGCCCTCCATAGTGGAGGCTGCTGTGCTGCCCACTCACACTTGCCAATTAGAATGCTGTTTCACTGATGTACACGTAAACCTATGTTCACTATTTTTACATGGCATATGAACATTATAGAAAGTGTAGGTATTTTCTCATACCAGAGAAAATTAAGAATGTTCAGTAAGACGCCGCCGACATGTGGCCGCATGATGACACGACGGCCCAACTGTTCTGGAATATTTATGGGTTTTCCCGACTGAAATTTGAAAGTGTCCATACATGTACATACCGGTAATATATACACCACATCAGACCTGATCAGTAAGGCCTACAATCTGCTCCAATCCACTATTAAACCAGACAACACACTACGTGTACATGTACATCAGCTCAACCTCAATTCATGTTTCAATGTCAACTTGAAAAAGACCACTTTCTACAGACGACGCAGTTGGCCTACCTTTCACTTACCGTGTTTCAGTGAATGCTTACAGCACGTTGTTAGAATGTTATGAAACAAAAAGGTTGATATGCTCGCAAAATAATAGTACTGTTAGGATTAACTCATAATAAACATCGAAACAACAACTGAAAGTAAAAAAAAAGTCAGATTATGAAACACTACATGTACATATATGTACATGTATATGGCTGCAGACTGGCATAAAATGTGAAAAATAATGCTTCATTATCAACCTATTGAAATACGAATTTTCCAAATAGAATCAAATTGCAAAAACAACCTACAAATCACAGACAAAAGTTTCAATGTTTACCTGTGCCCTTACATTGGAAACCCTATGTGTTCTTGAACAGGTGTGATTACATGTACTGGCTAACCTGTGTTTGGATTCATTTTGTGTGAGTTCCTTAAATGCCAACAACAGTTGATGCCAGACTGCATAAAGCCATTCTTTAGCAAATTCTCAGCCTGTACGTTATTACAACGCACTTTTTGGACTCTTGAACTGCACGATCCATTACTATAGATTGGCCACTGAATTTGAAATGTGTTGCTGTTAAACCGAAATGGCAGCTGTCAGCACCAATTCAAAAGTGTGAACTTATTTTGTTAGAGAGCTAGTTACTTGCAGTTAAAGATAGCTCCATGTTGTGGCAAATGCATGGGTTTGAGAGCTGGCTTCAAGTGTCGCACAAGAGGGCACTCAGTTTTTATCATTACTTGTTCTGTTCTTTATTCCAAGACAACTGCTTTTCTTTTTACTATTTGGACTCTTGAAAACCAAAGCACATTAACATGTACATGCATGGCAGCCAACTTTAGATGCACAGCCACATGCCACAAATACAGAGTCATTAGATTCATTTGAACAATATCTGCATGATATTTCTTATCACGACCTCTCATTTTTCAACACCCCAGGGTGTGCCAACAGAGCACTATTTGTTATCACAACAGGCTGTGTGCAGTCGTCAGGTTCAAGCTCAACACACGCTCCGACTCAGTGTACACAGACCCGCCAACCTCTTGGATCATAAAACTGTATTCTGAAAATTCAACAGTCATACTTTTCATTAAAAAATTGTATTTTGCAAAAATTTGAGCATATTTCTCCCCGTAATTGTTTTGACCACTTGTCTGGATTGGGTCTAACGTTAGTCCGAGTAACTCGAACTAGACTGCGTCAACACGTCTTCACGCATAAAATGATCTACTTAAAATACTTGGGACTGTTTGCCACTACTTCTACTATTAAACACAGATGTGGCTTAAAAAGTCCAACTAATAAATAGATGAATATTAGTATTTCACAGGCAGCCAATCACAACAATGATTGGGTGGTTGCCTGATACTATTTACACACACACGAGGTTTGTACATGTGCGTGCATACCCTGTAAGCATGTACATGTACATGTGCAAATGCACATGTACATGTACATAAATGCACATTCGTAGTCGTGGGGTTTTTTTTGCATAATGTACACTCGCAACCGTTGAACTGTTTTTTTTCAGGCGTGTCAAAATCATCAAAACTTGTACTTTATGGGGGAGAAAACATAAGATTGTATTTTCAAGAATTTCCCGTAGGAAATACAGCTAAATCATACTAGTTGGCAGGTCTGCATACAGCTGAGGTGAGTTGGGAAATGTGTGGCACTTCAACCCCTCAGCCCTGCTTGTGTATACAGATGGCCTGATCGTGTACCCACACCCTCCAATGGAACTGCTTGATGCAGGTTTCTGCGAGACATTTCTCCCTCCATTTTATGAAATTTGAATCCTTGTTCTCTCTGACTTTTTTTCAGCCCTCTTCCCCCCTTCAGTTCTATATCTCCAGCAGAAGATCTTATTTTTGCTTTTGGCTGGAAGGGCCATACATACACATCCACATGTATGTGCCATCAAGAATTATCCAGTCTTGCATTTATCAAGTCTCTGGAAGGTAACTAAACTCTAAGTGATTGGAGTAATCAATTACAACTTACCCAAACTATCCCCTCTGCGTGTCCTTTCAACAGGTGGCGGTGGGGCAATCTTGGCAAGCATTTCCTTCTCTCCCACTGTGGCGGCGCGCTTCTTCATTGTGAACACAGAGTCTTTGTCATCTTCAATGTCTTCGTCGGTTAAGCCTTCTGCCCGAAGAGGATCTACATGAATGGTGACACCTCAAAGAGTAATCCATTTCAATCGATTCTGAGTATGTGACAGTGCCCGCAAACCGTTTGGTAAACGTGATTAGAAGTTGGTGCACATCATCGGGTCGGGATTATCAGAAACATGCCGTTTAATGTGACGTCGCCGAATGCATTTGGAAGCTTTGCATGTTAATGGTAGGCCTACCACTTTTTTAAAAATATGATCAAAATATGAAATTACAAAATGAGAATGTAAAGATTCAGTATCGTAATACAACTTTCTGTACCTCAGTATTTGGCTATGAATAAACTCAAAAAAGACAGACTTCATTATGGACAACACATCTCGCAATCACAATCTTTCCCACAAGTTGATTATCCTACAGTCAGGATTACTAGACATTTCCAATGATTGCATATGGTGCTTTCCTGGATGGGCACATTTGCCAACATCCATTTAGCATTATATGCATCGGAAAGATGTAACTGGCTACATATAAACAGGTAAAAGTTATAGCACTAAAAAAGATTTACCTGAATGTGTTCTTGGTCTGCTTGTGACCTCATCAACTATCGTGACTGTCTTTCCATCCGGTTTCACATGAAGTGCAATAGGTTGGAAGATCTTGGCTTCCTGAAAAAAAACAGGCAACCCATATAAAATGCCACCTACAAAACAATTCTCTCCTCATAAGGTTTGTGGCCTGGTTGTTTTAAATACTTGACCTGTTGATCAAGTCAGGAGCCCAGGCTGATGGGAGGTGGACCCACACATACCAAAGTATACTGGCCAATTGAAATGACATGCCTTCGATTTGGACCAATGGTTAGGCTGCTTGGGTTGGCAGAGTGGTGTTGTCTTTGCCTGCAGTTTAGTACTGATGACCAGAGTTCCAATACCAGCCAACGTACCAAGTGGTTTTCTTGTGCTGACATGAACATGATCCTTTGAGTCTTTCCGCTCAACCAACATATTTCCCACACTAACTGTGCAGTCTCAAGAATTTTCAGCTCCAGTAACGGAATTCATTTCAAAATTATGTATGTACATAAATCATAATGTCATTTTAATTGGCCAGAGTCTCACAAATGGGGCTCATGGGGTATGTTATTACAAATGACTAAGTCGTTGTCTTTAGCCCCTCTTTAACCACTTCACACTGGCTAACTTGTAAACATGCAGGGATTTCCTGTGTCAAGTATGGGGGACTTTGGAGTAGATTCTGGCCAATATTGTAAAGAGTGCCAGGTGACGTCTATACTTGTTCCCACACGTCATTCCCGCTGAGTTTGTACATACACGCACAGGCTCAAAGTAGTCTGCATGACACAGCCAGGCACTGAAGCAAATATTGCTCCACCTCATTGTAACAGAGTTTGAAACAAGGTGAAGATGTGGTCAGAAATGTCACACAACTATTGAACCGAATGACCACAGTGGGTCAGTATTTGTGAAGCTCAACTTTGTACGGCTCTGCGGTTATGGCATCTTGCTTTTTCCAAAAGGTTGCCATTTTATGGGCTGAAAATAAGACTACATTGTACATGCTTATGTATGTCTGGGACAAGTTCTTTTTGGAATAATAATGCCACCAAGAGGTTAATAAAACAAGATGAAAACTGGAAAACTGTATCTTTAGCTTACGGGATCAGGTGAGATGGATGCAAAGTCAAAGTTTGCTGGAGATTGCGATGATGGGGAAGGAGCAGCAGGAAATGGAGAGTCCGTAAATGTCGCCCAGTTCTGCCAAATTAAAAGCAGACCAGGTCACAAAGATTGAACAAACACCTATCAAGTTTCAGATCTTTGCCTCTTGAAGCATTTGTCTTTATCAAAAAACATCATACAAAAACAGAAATACATTCTGTTAGAGTTACTGAAACTGAAATCACTAATTTGTTTTTGCACTTGCCTTGTTTGCATGTCAGGTTTAAACTGGCCTAAAGGGCAGTGTCTTGAAACTATTTCTAACTTGGTACAAGGATTCAGCAAAATGTTCATGCGTCATTTGGACTTTAGCCAGCGCTTAAGCTACACATGGGAATGTGTGGCACTTCAACCCCTCAGCCCTGCTTGTGTATACAGATGGCCTGATCGTGTATACACATCCTCCAGTGGAACTGTCTGATGCAGGTTTCTGCGAAACATTTCTCCCTCCATTTTATGAAATTTGAATCCTTGTTCTGTTTTTTCCAGCTCTCTTTCCCAGGGCGTATACCTCCAACAGAAGATCACATTTTTGGTTTGGGCTAGACGGGCCATACATACACACACGCACATGTACATGTATGTGCCATCAAGAATTACCCAGACGCAGCTGACAACAAAAATCTTTGCTTTTCAACATACTGAAAACATAAAACGTAACCAATTGTGGTCGTGTATCTTTAACAACTTCAAAATTACATATACAATAGTGTACAAATTAAACTTTCTGACACGTAATGAAATGCTTTAACCCTAACCCCCTAGGGACCATTGGAATCCTGCATAACCTTATTGAGTTCAGCGTGGTTAGGGTTGAGGAAGTCCCTATTGTCTTGTCAATTTGCAGATCTCCACAGCTCCTCTGCAAAGATGGAAACATGACTACTGAAACAGCTATCAATGAACAACTTGC